TAACACAGCAAGAATGAGTTGACAATTCAGTGGTATGCAAAGTCATCTCACTAGGCAATGTTGTTTAATAGCATATGTGCTTTGTTCAGCTTATTCATTGAATTTGGTTGGGGAAACTGCAGTTCAGTGTTTTTGAGGTGTTATAATATTCTTTGATTATATGCAGAGAATATACCATACGCTTATTTCTCTGCCTATTCCAAAAAAGTTGTCTAATACTACAGTAGATGGACTGTCCTTGCTGATGCCACAAAGGCCATTCTGTCTGGTAATGATATCATCACTGAGATTTTGGAAAGTATCATTGAAGATAATGCTGAAGCAGCTGGTCAATAAATGTATGGCTACTGGATTACTAAATACAATGTCCCAGCTTGAGACGGGCATATTTATTAATCTGTGCCACACCATCCTGGAGCACTTCAGTGCAACAAGCAAGAAACTCCAAAAAGAAAATGGTTCACTGAATACTGTTATCCTGCTTCTGAAATCATCATTCAGTTTTATACATTCATTGAGAGATCAGTTTGATGAATTTGAGAAAAGTAGTACAGTACAGTGCTGAGACTTCTGGAAATAAGGAATGTGTATTCAAGTGAGAAATAAAGAATCCGAGAAAGAAACACAAAGTATGACTTTTCAATTACAGAAGTAAAGAAGAGAAACTGTTGTTTCCAAGAGAATTTTCAGAATGAAAAACTTTATTCCAGTTATTGATTGTCTTTTGGTACAACTCGAGAAACAAAATGATGCATAAATCTGAGTTGAATAACAAGTTTGTATTTCTGCAGGATTTAATTGAAATCAGTGAATTTTATCTCAAAGTGAAATGTGAATATCTTGTAGACGTGTATTTATCATATTTGGAGATAAACCTTGGTACAGAGATGTTACAATTTTGTCATATTATTAAAGAACTTTTTCCTACCAAGAAAGAAGAGATGGGTCTTGAATACTAAACATGTATGTTTAAAATAATTTTTGATCAAAGACTGGAATCAACATTTCCAAACATAGACATACTTCTATGGATATATCTGAGTCTTTTGGTGACACATTGTTCTGGAGAAAGATCATTTTCCGAACTGAAATGTGTGAAAAATTGTTTCTGATCAACTATGACTCAAAAAAGATTAATTAATCTGGCACTTATGAGTGTGAAACATGATGTACTGGAGAAACCTTTATTTTGACAATCTGATTAAAACATTTTATGTTAAAAATGGCAGGTAAAGTGTCACTCTACATATGATATAATATGATAATAAAGTTTATGTTCATTTTCTTTGTCTATTATTTGTATTCTACTAGTTACTATATATAATTAATAATATAATTTACTATGATATATTTTGATTATTAATATATAAAAATCAGTACCTAACTTGACCCTCTAGTGAAGGTTTTTATTAAATTTCAAGTATATACGAGAGGGTCTCCACGCATATATTTGCCCCAGGGCCTCCTACCTTCATCTGTCCCTGCTGGTGGCCTTTTAGGGGTGTGGCCCATTGTACTGATACCCTTTTTATCTACCTGGACAGTATCAGCTGAGTCATCTTCATTTTATATTTAACACTGTACCAGTAACTTGTTTATTGTGCAGCAGACATGATGTCTCCCATGTAGAGAGGTTGTTGTTGTCTTCAAAATATATTATTCTGTATACAGTTGTACCCCACTTAACGCGGTCAATTGAACCCAGAGGGTCCCGTGTTAAGTGAAATCCGCGTTAAGTGAACAACAGAACATATGGGATTAATTCCAATAGAAACCAGCCCGACCCCCAAACTCCACTTTTTGACGACACATAACTATGTTGTAGTAAAAATTTTATCTTAACTTTATGATGGTATGAAAAACAAGTAATATAGAAGAGGTTGGGTTAGGAAACATAAAGGTTAACATAGGAAAAATGAAGGTTAAGTTAGAGAAACTAAAAGTTAGGTGGAACACTTTCGGTAGTAGAAGAGATGGGTCGGCATACGGGGATGGAGGCTGGTTCCGAGGCAGAGGGCAGATTACTGACCCTCAGGTGAATCACCATTACTAGGTGAATCACCATCACTGTCACTTACAGTTGTCAGGGCTTCCCTGACAAATCCCTCAAAGTCAACTTCACTGTCACTATCACTGGCTTGGGCTGGCTGTGGTGGGTTGCGGGCGAAGAACTCGGTTATGCTTTTTTGACGGCTGGTGTTTATGTTGTCATGATACACCGTGATGTACGGCTCCATAGCCTGCACCAGCCGGGTATGGAAGACTTCATAGCGGTCATCGTCATTGTCGCGGGAAAGGACGGACTTAATTTTCTCTGCAAACTTTATGGCACACTTAATATCACTATGACTTAAACTAGGTTCTTCGGAGAATGACGCACCTTCTTCCTCCTCTTCACTGGCGTGTTCTTCTTCCAACATCTCGTCGGCAGTCACTTCAGGATCTCTGATCACCTCCAGGATGTCTTCGTTGGTGGTCTCGGAGAAGCCTTCAGCTGTAATATTGAGCGCAGCTTCTCTGGCAAGGTCCACTGCTACTGCAACAGGCTGAACCTCACCAGTCACAGGTTCACTCCTCCTCTCACCTGGTATGCCATGCAACACATGTCTCCATGCGTGACGAATCGTAGCAATAGTCAGCAGATCCCATGCCTCCACCAAGAAGTCTACAGCTTGTTTAACGTTAAACTTCTTCCAAAATTGTTTGACGAGAAGTTCTTGAGTCACCGCCTCTTGTTCCTTGTCCTCGTCGCTTTTGCTCTCGCTGTCGGTGTCACCCAGCTTACGCAACTCATCCTTGGTGTTGGTAGAGTCGTTCAGCAGCTTGAACTTCTTTGCAGAGTACGCAGCTTTAACATTGCAGATCAACTCCTGGTCCATGGGCTGGATTAATGACGTAGTGTTGGGAGGAAGGAAGACCACTTTTACGTTGGGGTGACGATCCATAAGTAGGGGCGAGTGTCCAGGTGCGTTGTCAAGGAGCAACAAAATATTGAATGAAACATTCTGTTGCTCGCAGAATTTCTTCACGTCGGGAACAAAACAGTTGTCAAACCAGAAGAGGGACAGAGAAGAGGACATCCACGCCTTACGTGCGGTTAGCCAGTGGACATTAAGCTTGTTCATGTCCATATTCTTGTAGGCGTGCGGCTTGCGGGCTGTGTGAATCACCGATAACTTTGGTTTACAGGTACCGGAGGCATTGGTGGTAAACAGGACGGTGATGCGTTCCTTCTGCAACTTCCGACCCCTTACCTTGCTGGCAGACTGGACAACGAAGGTCTTGGAAGGTAACTTTTTCCAGAAAAGACCAGATTCGTCCATGTTAAACACCTGGTCGTCAGTGTACTGTCCTTCCTCCATAATCTCACGTAAGAACGGAGGAAAATCTCTAGCCGCCACACGGTCAGCACTCGCTTCCTCACCACCAATGTTGATGTTGGTGATCTTGTTCCTCTTCTTAAACCTATGCAGCCAACCAGAGGAAGCATTGAAGGGTTTGGGCTCTGCAATTCCCAGCTTACGTGACACTGCTGCGTATAGCTCACGTGCGTACTCCTGCACTGAGCGCGTGTCCACCGCCATGTTGCGTCGCGCCTGACGAACCAAATAACTCACCAGCAAATTTTCCACTTTTGCCAGCACCCTGTTCTGGCAATACCTGATAGATGAAGCACCTGCAGACTTTGTGATTTTCATGTGCTCTTTGATCTTGGCTGCATCCTTCTTGATCGTGCGAATCGTAGATTCGTTGACGCGATGCTGGCGCGCGAGATCAACTTGCCGTCTTCCTTTCTCCAAATCTTGAACAATTTGGTACTTCACCTCGTAGCTTAAGGAACGTCGTGTCTTCTTTGGCTTAGTGCCGCTGGGTCCAGGTAAGGAAAGGTCTCTCTCTGGTGGCGGTGGTGGTCCGGCGGAAGCCATTTTACGGAACAATGGATGCGCGTTTACACGGTGTGGCCTTGAGGGATGAAACTGCCGCTGCTAGGTCAAGCATCGTCTCTCCTCCCTCCCTCCCCGGGGTGGTCACGTCATAATACTTTAAGCCAATTACAGCTAGCAGCAGAGGGGGGTAGGGATGCATGGCCAATCACAGGTCTGATACGTCATATGACGTCAGTGATAACGCAACAAAGACACACACTGCGCAACCTTACCGCTCCGCTTGCCCAAGTGGAGGGAGGAGGAGGGAGAGGCAGGCAGGCAGGCGGGCGGGTGGCGCGTGGGGCAAATCTAAAAATAGCGTCTCGAGCCGGACACTCACCGCGTATATGATGAAAAAATCCGTGTTAAGTGAAAGTTCAGCTCTGGCGAGGCACCGCGTATATGATAAAACGCGCTAAGTGAAACCGCGTTAGGCGGGGTAATACTGTACAGTTATTTAAGACTAAATATATTTAAATCTAAGTATCCCTGTATCGGTTTACCACCCCAGCTAAATTGCACAAAAAACCTCAAGCTGCAAAAAAGGGCCGGATTAGAAATTCTTGAATTTTTACGTAGGTTGGAAGAGCTTGTGGATATGAGGATGGTAACTCTCCTCACAGGCTATTGAAATGACTTAATCACTAATTTTCTCATATTTTTAGAAAATATTAACGAGCACGGATTGTGCTCGTTAACCGAGGGACCACTGTATAGTAATGTTGACAGTAATCTTAGTTGTTTGGTACATTACAGTACACTACAATACAGGCATCCCTCAGTGTACATGAAGGTTCTGTTCTAGAAAACCATTGTTACTGGAGGGATATATACAGTACATGTATTTCACAACTTTATATCATAATGTCTTTGTGAACTTCAAATTGCAGTGTAGCTACAGACATCCCTTGACATACAAAAGGATTCTGTTCCAGAAGAAAAAATAATGAATCTAGAATGCCAGTACAGTACAGTACAGTATTCTTAAAACTGTGATGTGTTTTTATATTTTTTGTTGGAAAAGGTGGTGGTCCATCCCACATAATTTTGTGTTGAATGTATTGTTACTTACAGGAGAGGGGCCCCATACCCAAGTGTTTGAACTGGCTGGTGCTCCCCCGCTGAACCTCTGCACCTCGGTGCTGACAGACACCCAGGGAATGATGCAGATGGGCCTGGATAGTAAAGGCAGTAATGACGCTTTGGTCCAGCAAGGAGGGATGGAGCAGGTGACGGCAGAAGAGATGAGCCATGTGACGATCACCGACGGACTGATAGAGCACGGCGTAGATGGAACGATGGTGCAGATTGTGGATGGCACCGTGGAGCAGATTGTGGATAATGAGATGGGTCAGATAGTTGGTGGGAGTATTAATCATATAGTGGAGCAGGAGATGAGTCCTGTGGGTGGGGGGATGCTGGCTCAAGTGGCCAATGGACTTACAAAAGTCATCAAGAAGGAAGAGGTGCTGGAAAATGAAGTAAGTGATCAGATTGTGTTAATATATGTACAGTACTTTAGTTTGTTTGGGAAATCATGATTTAAAAAAAAATTAAAGAGGTGTATTGTGTTTGTTAGGTCAAGAGGTACAGGTGGAGCCTGTTCTGGTTGGCACAATCAGTGTTATCAATCCACCCTCTGCATGAGGTGTGGATCACCATAGTATCAACTCATGAATCTGAAGCCTCCGAGTTACTTCAGTGAGACATGAGGTGCACACGGCAGCCTGAGACCAGAATATTTTAAAGCAACTTGATATAAGTTTACTCATTACATGGCCTGGCAACATTGATGCTTTACTTGCTTCTTCACTTACATAATGTTCTGTAGATTAACTGATATGTTGTAGTTTGGGTACTTATCACATTATACACCTAAACAGCATGTGGGTATGTGGTTTTTGGAGTGATGGTGTAGGTGGTAGTAGTGAGTGGTGGTATGGATATGGTTCTTGGTAGTGATAGTGGGTACTTATAAAGGGTGGTGGTGGTGTTGGAGGTAAGGATAGGGAATGGTTGGTGAAGGGTGGGTGTGGTGGTGGTTGCTACTAGTTGTGGGAGATGTTATTGGTTGGTGGTGGTTGCAAAGGATGATGGTGGTGGCTGGTATTGCTTGATAGTGGTGGTTCGTGATTGTGAAGGGTGATGGAGGTGGAGGTAGATATAGTTGTTGGTAGTGATAAGTGGTGATGGTGGTAGATGTGGTTGGTAATGATGGTGATAAAGTATGGTGGAGATGTGTGGTAATGGTGTTAGTAATCAACATGCCCACTTCACAAGTCAATGGATTCGGGTTCGATCCCCGGGTAGGGTGAAACAATGGGCAAGTTTCTTTACGCCATTTACCTCTGTCTACCCTGCAGTAATTGGGAACCTGGATGTTAGTCAGTTTGTGGATTGTGTTCTGTGGTTATGGTTAGTCAGCATGTGTCTACAGAAAAATAGAGAGAGAATTTGGTTTAGCTAGGTTAGATTTGGCTTGGTTGAGTTAGGGTAGATTAGGTTTGGTTGGGTTAGATAAGGTTTGGTTGTGTTAGATTAGTTTGTTAGGTTAGATTAGATTTGGTTAGGTTAAATTTTGTTTAGGTATGTTAGATTTGATTTAGTTAGGTTAGATTTAGTTTGGTTAGGTTACATATAGGTCAAATAATGTTAGTGCGACATGTAAACCACAACACCACCACCTCCACCACTATAGTAAACAACTATATTTCTACACCCGTTTTGAAAATTGAGGACCCAGAGTACAATGTGACTCTCCCATTAGGCTTCTTTCACACGAGTGTTTTTGTTATTTGACCCTTCAAAAAAAAAATGCTTGTGTAAAAGAGCCCTTAGTCCAGAATTAGTTGTTGGGAGACCTACAGTTATTTACTTACAAGTTTTAGGTGTGTAAATAAACTTTTGTCATTAAATTTGTTAGTTTAATGTATGTTTATGGAGCTAATGACCTCCATCTTGGGTTGAGGTTTGAGCCAAGGATTGAGAATAATGACATGGAAAGCTGGTAACAATTTTCCATCTCTGGATATTGAAGGACTGTGATCCAGCTTTGTGTGGCATAACTGTTGGGTTGGTCCTTATACAGGTGTACTGTACCCCGATAACCAACACATATAGAGACCGGGAAAAGTCGTTGGTTAGTGAATTAACGGTTATCAAACCAATTCATCCCATTAGAACATGACAAATTCAGGGGGTTAGGGACTGGCCACCCTCCAGAAACTCTCATATACCCTCGATATATTTCTGTACTGTGCACTGTCCAGCAAGAAAATAAAGCAGACATATAAAGCCAAGATAATGAGCATTAAATAAGGAATGTAAATCATAATTTGTGACTGTTATTTACCCGTGTTGAGTATGGTAGAGACAGTCTAGGGTGGCAAGTTCAAGCCTTTAGCATTCTTTGCTGGTCCATCACCACTCTTACTACACCTTATTATGCCTTTTTACGAGGTCTGTCCAAAAAGAAACCAAACTTTTTAAAAAACAAATTTATTGCTTTACTTACAACTTAATCAGACTTATCTCCTTCAAAGAACTCCCCTCCACTGTTGATACACCACTCCCAACGTTTTTTACAGTTCTAGAACGCGTTTTGGGGGGTGGTGCGCAGGTCTCGTAGTGAATTTTCTTCTATCTCTTCTATCATCTGAATCGGCGACCTTTCAGGGTGGATTTCAACTTAGGGAACCCCAAAAAGTCCGCAGGGGCCAAATCCGGAGAGTAGGGCAGCTGGGGGGCGATAGTCGTCTCGTGCTTCGCCAAAAAGTCACGGATAAGGAGCGACGCGTGAGCAGGTGCATTGTCGTGGTGCAGCATCCAGGTCTTGTTTGTCCACGCCTCAGGCCTCTTCCTTAGCACTGTCTCCCTCAAACGCTTCAGGACCTCCAAGTAAAACTGTTTATTGACCATCTAACCACGTGGAACAAACTCATGATGAACGACGCCCTGCCAATCAAAAAAGACGATCAACATCACCTTCACATTTGAGCGACTGACGTGTTTTTTGGTCGCGGCGATGATGGTCCAACCCACTGCGACGACTGCCTTTTTGTTTCGACATCATAGCCGTACACCCACGTTTCATCACCCGTTATGACATTTTTCAGAAAGTTTTCATCATTCGAACGATCGAACAGCTCCTGACTGACTGTGACACAGTTCTCTTTTTGCTCATCTGTCAGCAGACGCAGCACAAATTTTGCAGCAACATGATGCATCTTCAGTTTTTTGGTTAAAATCGTGTGGCACTAATTTTTACAGATGCCTTCTTCTTCGGAAACTTCACGGACAGTCAGGCGACAATTTTCACTGATCACAGCACTCACTTTCTCAACGTGAGTGTCGTCCATTGACGTGTTAGGCTGTCCAGTTTTGGGATTGTCTTCGGTGGATGTTCTTCCCCATTTGAAACGCTGGTACCACACGTGATATTGCGTACGGCTCAAACAATCCTCCCCATAAGCCTGTTGCAACATTTGAAGTCTCCTCAAAAGTTTTTCCCAATTTGAAACAGAATTTCACGCAAACATGTTGCTCTTCAAGATCCTTCATTGTTCAACTTGCAACAAGTCGCCAAGTGCACTAAACACAGTGTGTAGCTCGATGACTAATTGACATGGTGTGATGTGACTAGTGTTAGACTAAAGCTCAAGGTCACCGCTACACAGCGCTTCTATCGCGAGCACTCTGCGCCTGCTCGTTGGCACGCTATTTAAAAAGTTCGGTTTCTTTTTGGACAGACCTCGTACACCTTATCACATCACATCAAGCTATCCAGCACAAGAGGAACTATCACTGGGGCTTTTAGGCATGATTGAGTAACAGACGAAGTCAGAGTCACATCGCAAGTGTAAAATAGAGCAAAGATGGTTGGAATGAGTCATGACAGTGCCCAGAGCCCTCTGGTGGCAAGAATTTGCACCATACCACCACCTGCCAAATTCAGAACAGCTCAGTTATGTGAATCAGTGGTCAGTGGAACATCAGATTTTGGAGTACACCTGTACTGTATATAGGGAAAAAATAAAATGTTGAAGTATTTTTGTCTGACCCTTACTAAAGCTTCCATTTGTCACAAAACACTGTGTGCAAAGTTTCATTATAAAAGAGAGAGAGTGAAGCAACATTGTGGTGAAGAGAAAGGGAAGAGAGATTATCAGCTAAAGGAGGAGAGTTAATAAGATTCTATCTAACAGTTGGACAGAAGAAGAACCACCCCAGATATGAGAGCAGTACTCCAAGTTAGGATGAATGAATCCCTTACAAACATGAAGCAACTGCTTAAGAGTTAAGTAACTGCGGCATCTGTACAGTATTCCCAACTTTCGGGAGGCAGCTTTGGCAATGTTGAGGATGTGTGGCTTCCATGACATATCAGAGGAAATGGTGAGACCTAGCATATTTATTTTAGAATTTTGCAGACTGATTAAATAATAATAATAATAATAATTAACGGTTTATTGAAAGAGCTTGGCAGCCAGAAGGCTGAAAATATACAGTTACATATTTGGGGAATGGGTTTTGAATTACAAATAATATACAAGTAACATAAGTGACACAAATAAGACATATAATAACTAGATGGGGAAAAGCTCGAACTACAGTTCATTTCAACATAGTGACAGTGTAAGGAGTAGTGTTTACTGGGAGTGAATACACTGGTTTATTACAAGTTATTGATAATTTTTACAATGGTTGGGACTGGGCTGTTCTTATAGCGATCAGTTCGTGCACGTATGGGCTGGATGCGGTTGTGGTGTCGAACAGCAATTCTCGGACTAGGGATCTCAGGTGGTAGTAGGAGCCGGTGTCGAGGATGGTGTAGAAGCTTCTTACCAAATTTGCAGATGAGGTCGTGGTGATGGTCAGTGAGAGTCGAAAGGGTCAGTGTGTTGAGCGCTTCTTGATATGTGGGGTAGGAAGGGGAGAGAATAATCTTGCATGCCCTCTTTTGCACTTTTTCTAGGTGTTTATGTTGTGTGGCATTTAGGGAGGAAGACCAGGTGGGGGAGGCATAGGTGAGCTTGGGAAGTATGAATGTTGTGTAAACACTGAGGAGCTCGGGTGCAGAAACTCCAAGGGACTTGAGTCGGCGGAGGAGGTGGAGACGGAAACTGGAGGATTTGACAACTTCATTGACGTGTGGTTTCCAATTTAGTTTGTTGACTATGGTGACTCCGAGGAGCTTCGTGGAATCTACAACCTGGAGTGTGTTCGGACCTAGAGTAATGGAAGGAGGTGGGACAATGTAGGAGGAGAGGTTGATGTGCATAACCATGGTCTTGGTATGGTTGATGGTGACATGGTTGTTGGTGGCCCAGTTTTGGAGACTGTTCAATAAATCCTGAAGGGCAGTATAGTTGGGAGCAGAATTGTTGACGCTGATCCCAATGGTGGAGTCGTCGACATATTTCCAGCGAGCAGGGGTTTCTCTTAGGGCATCATTGATGAGCATAAGGAAGCAGAGTGGTCC